AGTCTAGGGGTGGGACAACCTATATTTAACACACCTTCTAGGTGATTCTGATGCAGGCAGTGGAAAAGCTTTAGTCTAGAGGTAACAGGACCATTTGAACTTCTGAGGAAAGAGAGCTCGATGTTGCTGGAACAGTCACAGAAAACTTTCTGGAAACAGTAGCACCTGATTTGGGAATCACATTATCCTTTTAGAGATATTCCATGTCTTTGGTTCCTCTGTGTACTACCCATCTTTTTGGTTTTCATATTCAGTTGATATGTGAACCACTTTGTTCCCCCAAAGCTACAACAAGTGGGATGAGTACACTGCACCTATTTTATTGATGATAATCTCCCTAACTTTAGAGAAACATTTCCACTGGATAAAAAATTTTTATCTCAAAAATTGATTTATTATTATTATTATTATTATTATTATTATTATTAATAGTAGTAGTAGTTAGAAGCAGTCTGGGTTTTCTCTTTTCCCAATCCAGAACTAAATGGACCTTGTCAATATTTATCACCCCAAAGTGATGGACATGGTTTCTGATGATGGTCGCCCTAATTTCTATGCTGGGTTCTCACTTCCACAGACCCTGTTGTGAAATTTAACATTTGTTCAAAGGGTAGTTATGAAAAGGAATGAGAAATGCTTGAATTTAAATGAGTCCTTATCTCATAGCCTGCTTAGTTTGCTGTGTTTCTGCCATTTTCTCAGCTTCCATGAACTCTAATCAGGAGAGCAATGAATGAATGCAACAGTGAACAGAATTAGGGAAGCTAGAGATGTTCAAATGAGAGTCCCTGTGTCAGAGTCAATTACACGCCACCAGAGGGGGCCCACAATGAACATTTTTCTTTCCAGAACTGATAATGAATGGAGAGATGGGGAGTACATTAATGTCTGAAACTTCTTAAGAGGTTTTCCCCACTTATCTTAGTTGGGGTCCAGTAAGAAAATGAGCAAAGCTCATAGTCCTAACATTAAGTGGTTAAAGTTTTACATCTGCCACAGGGAAGTGACCACATAGGAGAGAAAACTAGCATACTTCAAAGTAAAAAATATTAGTATATCCATTTACAGTTTGGGGGAAAAAAACCTGGGACGGAGTGTAAGAAAATCTGGGATAGAAGCCCAAGAAATATAGACAAAAGACATGCACCTGCCAAGACTGCAAAGAAGAAGACTCTGAATTAGTCTGCAAGTCCTGACTGGGCACCTATTTCTGTGTTTAGTCCTGAAATGAGCATAAATAGATATCCCAAAGGGTTGGGAACACCGGCAGCATGGACATCCTCAGAGGCTCAGTGTCAGGTAGGCCATGCTCCTGGGTGATGCTTGCATCTTTCTCAGCATCAGTCCTGAGAATGGTTAAGCCTGAGCTTGAAGTTCTATGCTTACTAACTCTCGAGCATTGCTTTTTGTCTCTAGGCAACTTTGTCTATTAGAAAGATCTCTCACATTTTGTACACTTTCACACTTTCATTCTATTCTATTCTATTCTATTCTATTCTATTCTATTCTATTATTTATTTTACTAAAGCGATCTCCCTAGAGTGCCCACTTACTGGTCTTTCCTCTCCTGCCCCTTCCTAAGCCATCTCCAGGTTAACTAGCTATAGTTTTTATGCCACTTCTTAGCTAGATAGGTGAAAAGTGGTCTCAAATCATATCAATTTTCTGTGGCTGCTCTAACAAATCACCACAAATTGGATGGCTGAAAGAACAAAAATGTATTCTCTCACAGTTCTGGAGGCCAGAGTTCAAGATCCAAGTGGCAGCACCCCTTCTCGTGCACGAGGGGAGAATTCTATGCCTATTCATCTTCTGGTGGCTCCAGGTGTTCCTTGGTGTGTGGCCTCATAAAGCCAATCTCTGCCTCTGTCTTTACATGGCTTTCTCCTTTCTGCATGTCTCTTTTCTTTGTAACTCTTATAAAGATGCTTGTCATTGGACTTAGGGCTCCCCCATGATAATCCGGGATGATTCCATCTAGAAATCCTTAACTTACTTACAAATCAAAGAACTTTTTCCAGATAAGGTCTCATTCACAGGTTTTACAGGGACTAGAACATGGTCTTGTCTCTTTGGGGAGCCACTATTCATTTCAGTACACCATCTTAATCACTTTTTTTTCCAGTGGTCCTTAAATTTTGGGAACCTTTGAAAACCCCTGGGTGGTGAACACACAATGTGTTATATAGATGATGTATAGCAGAATTGTGCACTTGAAACCTATGTAACTTTACTAACCATTGGTACCCCAATAAACTTTAATTTAAAAAAAGGAAAAAAAAATCTGGTAAATATATGTAATTTCTCCATAGATAAGTGCACATGCCAAAATGCATATTTTTATTTAAAATTGCAGGAGATTCAAATTCTACTATCACCACCAAAGCCAATATGTGTGCTATACATTAGGATACTCTATATCATTCTTGAGTGGTAACATCTAAAACTAACTACAGTTTTTCTTTGTGATCTAGTTAATGTATATAGAGTGGACCAAGATAGTGCCTCTTTTGCTCTAGGTAATATAAAAAATTCTGTATTAATTAATGCATTCTAAGACCACCTTAAATATTTTTCATCTCTCTGAAGTATATACTTAATATTAATTACATTGTATATGAAAATTCTTAAGCTGCCATTATTATTATTATTATTA